GCCGTTTCCCCCATCTCTGTTTTCGCATTTTTGTCAGCTCCAGCGTCTAACAACAAGCGCACAATCTTCAAGTCGCCCTCCAGAGATGCAAAGTGCAATGCCGTTTCCCCCATCTCTGTTGTCACATCTTTGTCAGCTCCAGCCTCCAGCAACAACCGCACAATCTCATAGCCAAACTCATGAGATGCAAAGTGCAATGCCGTTGCCCCGTGCTCTGTTGTAGCATCTTTGTCAACTCCAGCCTCCAGCAACAACCGCACAACATTCAAGTGGCCCTTGTGAGATGCAAGGTGCAATGCCGTGTCCCTCCTCTCTGTTGTCGCATCTTTGTCAGCTCCAGCCTCTAACAAGAAGCGCGCAATCTCCAAGTGGCCGTTCTGAGATGCAAAGTGCAATGCCGTTGCACCGTTTCCTTTAGCTGCATCTTTGTCAGCTCCAGCCTCGAGCAGCAGCTGCACAACCCCCAAATGACCGCTCTGAGATGCAACGTGCAACGAGTTTTCCCCGTTAACTGCTGCTGATTCTTTGTCAGCTCCAGCCTCGAGCAACAAGCGCACAACCTCCAAGTGGCCGTTGCCAGATGCAACTTGCAACGCCGTTACCCCGTACTCTGTTGCAGCATCTTTGTCAGCTCCAGCCTCCAGCAACAACCGCACAATCTCCCAGTGGCCTCCGTGGGCTCCAGCTAAAACAGGCATACAGCCGGACATTGCACATCGCACATCCGGATTCTGTGGCTTTTGAAGCAAAGCCTCAACTTCGCCCACCCGACCGTTCTCACACGCATCAACTAGTTGCTGAGTATGGATCTCGTCAGGAACATCGAAGTCCATCAAGACCAACTGCACCGTGGGGAGCAAGCATAGCGGCATCTCATCCTGCAATTCGCCCATCTCGCCACCCAAAAGCCGTTGCCGAAACCTTGGGCACCCAAGCTGCTCTGAAAGGAGCTGCTTCAAGTGCCGGACGGATTTGCCCGCTGCCACCATGCAACGCACTTCATCCTCATCCAGCCAAGCAACTTGTGTGCCAGACACTCTAACAACTTCCATACCCTTTCGGCAGGCGTTTGGGGACCTAAACGTCCACATGTCTGGTCACGAATCATTCTTTGAGACATCCAGTTCGAGAAGTTTTGGACCCTTCATAGCGATGGACTGAAGTTCTTTTAGTCGGGGTCCGGTTTCTTAAATATTTTAATAAGAAATTAAATGCTGAACTAAGAATGCCCGAACTAAGAATGTCTTTCCCACCATATATACCCAATGCCAAGGGAGCTGCTATGATTGTGAACTCAACCGCTCAGTCTGTGAGACTCCGTCCGTCTCTATACCTGTCCACACACACAATCCGGATATTGCGTACTGAATTGAAAGCCACTTGCCACACGGCAACCTACTAGGTGAAGAAAGGTTCCTGAGTAAAACGGGGAAAGTAAGTTGGAGGCCACCGCTCCGAGGCTCCTAAGTTGCAGGCCCTCACACATCTAGGTGGGAGGTCAGCGCAACAGGTTGGAGGCACTAGTAAGTTGGTTAGATACAGAAAAGACAGCGGTTCAACTCATTGGCACTTTACATCAACCTGCTGCACCCGTTTCTAGCTTCGTTGCGTGCAATACATCACAGATGCTGCACGACCCTGCTGGGAGACCGAACGGTTCCCTTTGATTCAAGCTTCACACACTTGGATTGATGCTCGCAAGAGCTGAGTCAGTTTCCAAGTTCCAGAAATTGGTTACTGACTACCTAGGTCGGAGAAAAGAATTGTTAGAACATACGCATTGGCCCTTTACGATATATTAAGAGTTAGTGCAGGTACGGTACGTTTTCATCTCTCTGGCCCCCTGCCTGTTAAATTGAAGTAAAATTATCTTGCACTGGTCAGTGTCCTTTGGTACAGGTGTGGACACACACAAAAGGCCGAGAATCGGCGCACGGGGGGGGAAGGTGTGGAGTGCATTGACTAAACGAGCCTGGACGCCAACCTAACAAGCCTGAGAGAAAGAACGGGGGTGTGGGCAGGGCGTGCATTGACTAAACGAGCCTAAACGCCGACCTAACAAGCCTGAAGAAAAACACAAAACAAACGAAAAAGGGCAAGGAAAGAAAGGGTGCAGGGGGTGTGGGGTGGGGTTGCGCTGGAAGCCCCTGCCTGTTAAATTGAGGTACAGGTCAGCACTGGCCAGAAGGCACTGGCAAAAGAAGCCGTCATTGGCGCTCGCTTGACTGAAAAAAAATTCAGTTACACCCAAAAAGCCTCTAGAAAACGAAAAAAAAACTAGAAAACGAAAAGCAACTGCAAGAAAGAAAGAACCCCCCAAAAAAAAAACTACTTAGCAGCATGACACGTGAATGCTTAGCAGCATGGCCTATGACTACTTAGCAGCATGACATGTGCATGCGACTACCTAGCAGCATGTGATGATCCGTTCTGGAATTTGATCTCAATAAGCTCTGCGGCGTATGGTCGGCATTCTCGCGCAAAACCGAGGATCGTGGGAAGGTCAAGGAAGGATCAAGCGCGAGACCGTGGATCAGGGAAGGGTCACCCTTCAGGGCATGTGCACATGCTGCGCCCCTCGCTGGGGATCACACCACAGCCCGCAGTGGGACTCTGTGGCGACACACACTTGGATTGATGCTTGCAAGGGCTGAATCAGTTTCCAAGTTCCAGAAATTAGTTGCTGCCTACCTAGCACTCTAGCTACTGAATACTTAGCCCTTGACTTGAGGGAACGGCAAGAAAAGGTGGGTCGGAGAAAAGAATTGTTGGAACATACGCATTAGCCCTTTACGATATATTAAAAGTAAGTGCAGGTACAGTACTTCATCTCCCCGGCCCTCTGCGTGTTAAATTGAAGTAAAACGAATTATCTTGCACTGGTCACTGTCCTTCTGTCCAGGTGTGGACACACACACACACCGCGCGGCCAGGGGCAATAGCGTAAAAACTAAGGGGCAGACCAGTGCGCACGCGCACGCGCGCAGAACACAAAAGGACCAAGACATGAGAAGAACACGAAACTACAAAAGTGTGTGCGGTTGCGATGAAGAGGAAGCCGAATGCACAGGGACAACCAATGAACCATACCTCATTATCAAGACCTGGGCGACGTTAAATGTACATGCGCGCGTCCGGACCGACGCGCGCACAAAAGAAAAACGTGATGAGATGACATGACACGAAGGCGGAGAAAACATGAAACGAAAAAGGAGAGGAAGTGTGCGCGAAGGGGAGAGGAACCTGTGTGTGCGCTTAAGGCCGGGACAGGCCCCACTGGGCCTTGAAGAACTACGGCCGCTGCGGCCTACTCTGAGCCTGCTCTTGTCCGCGGACGACTAATGGCATGCCAAAATGGCGGCCTGCTCAAGCTCCATCAAAACCATCATCAGGAGGGAAATAGACAAACCCCCGTTCGACAGGGCCGTACACCCTGGCTGGCACGAGGCCAGACACACTTCGGATATACTGAATTGAAAGCCACTTGCCACCTCAATAGGTTGGAAGCCGTCGCTCTTAGGTGTACCTGGAAACAGCCTGAGCGTGGGAGAATTAGTGGAGTCAGTGTGCCCTCAAGCATGTACACAATCAAGCGCCCTCGATCCTTTCCCATCTGTGATCAAAGCTTCGTTGCGTGCAGTAGATCACAGACAGACACTGCACGCCCCGGCTGAAAAATCGAAAGGTTCCTTCAAGGTAACGCGTACTGACACGACTTGCGGTTTGCAACACGCCAGCCTATGTAAAAAAAAGACTAAGGAACCAGGGTGGGTATGTAAAGCATTCTGAACACGAAAACCTTCAGGACCTCCACAACCTTCAACTCGTGCATCGCAAAGCGGCAAGGACTCGTGACTGCAGTGAAGGAACCGCTGCAAAGGTTGGATGAACTGTTCTACTTGCAAGCAGGGACCATAAGGAAGCGAACCTTAGCGCCTGAGCAGGTACGCTGTTGGACGTCTCCAACTGTATTACCGGTGACTGATGAGCGTCTTTGTTAGCACCGGCCTCAGCAGCACCCCCACTGCCCCCTGCAATCCCCTGTGATTCCAAGGGGCTCACAGACAGAGAGAGAGAGAGAGAGACTCTCTCTTTCTCTCTTTTCCTTTATGTCTGTATACATCTATAACACCTATTCTCCAGTCCATCTTCCACACCAAAAGCTTCTTGGTGGCGGGAGCTCTGAGCATTCTAAGTTGCAGGTGTCCAAAATTCAAAAGCGTACATTTTGCAGAACGATTTGGCGTTCTATATTAGGGCATTTTCCGTGAGAGGGGCTAACTTATCCAAAGTGCTCGTGCTCCACTCGCTGCGACTTCCATTCAAGTGTCACAAATTGGCACCCAAAGCGTCCAAAACGTCATTCCAAGTTTCAGTCCGGCGCTATAGACATTGAATCCGGAAACAAAGAAGCACGGCAAGAAGCACCAAAAAAGAAACGGAGGGATGACAAAGAAACCTGGCGGAAAAGCGTCCAGAATGCTGTCTTTAAGATCTTTAGGGCCTGAAGATCTGTCTTCGAAATTGAAAAACATTGACGAAAAATGTTGCTTGGGTATGCATTTTTGTAAGGAGACCCCCTGGCCCAATGGGTAGACTGGGTTGTTGCCCCCTGGGAGGTCTCCATAGTTTAATACACTCTCACTTTGAAGCATGGTGTGACTCCGTCGCCCCCCATATCCAGCACATACTTTGACGCAGCTGGCTTGAGCTTCGCCGCTGCACATGGCCCAAAGAACGGAAAAACAAGGGCCCAACAAAGCCCCCTTCCGGTTCCATGTCAGGGCGCGTGGGATGGGTAGGATGGGTAGGGGTGTCCGACTCTGCCCCTTGAATTCGAAAGCCCTTCCCGGCACCTTTCGCACCTCCATCGTTCACCCCGTTTTCACCCGTGCCCCTAAATCCTCGCCATGACGGGTGTCCGTCCTGGGATCTCCCATGGCTTCAAGCCCTGCTTGGCACCCAGTTCAGCCAAGTCCTTGAGCAGTGTGCCTGACAGGGTGCGCATGCAAAAAACCTCTCCGAAACATAATGTACTAATGCTAGGCTGCTAGACCCCACCCCAAAGACCTTCCCAAAGCTGAAGGCAGCAAGCGACTTGGATGCCAGGATGTGTCAAACAGATTCCATCGGTTGCCAGGGCCCTTCTCAGCAGGATCTTGATGAAATGGATAAGTGTTCAGGGATACCAAGGAACAACCACCACAACCGATTAAGGGGGAGGTTTTCAGCAAGATACCCGATGGTATAGAGGACCCGCAAAGGGGTCGGCACACGGCGACGGGCATCAGAATACTTAGTCCCCGTTGTGTGGTTGGAAGGTGTGCGAGCGAAGGGAGCACTTTACGGCAACCTATCGCAAGCACAAAAGCGGTAGCGTGGGCACGGCGCGACCGAACAAAAGCGACGTGCACGAACTGAAACAAGCACGGGCGCGCTTGTTTCTTGAGCCAATATGTGTCGGTATGACACGTCATCTGCAACTGTACACAAGCCAACATGACATTACAAGTTAGGGGTTACATTTGCGTGTAAATTCTTGGCTATCTTGCACGCTTGCAACACCATCTTCGTCCATGGCCATCCCCGGACCTTCATCTATCTGCGCTTTGGGCACCACCACCGCCGCGCAGGAGCGCATCGAGCCGTTGCCCCAAACGAACAGCTCCGACACCCAGGGGCTCTGCCGCAGCACCGCCTCGACCGGCTCCGGCGCCACATAGATGCCTCGGAGGGAAGTCGAGCGCGGCGAGTGCACCGTTTCTCCACCAGTGTGGGGCCCCCTTCCAGTTGGTGCTGGGCACATGTCGCGGCTGAGAAGTCTTTGTGAAAAGTGCCGGAGCCAGCCTCACGGACGTCTGGCACGCACCACCGGGTGACGACGGACGCCTGGGCACCCCACCTTGTGCGAGCTTGAAGTGATTCTTGCAGCGATCGATGACCCGAATCTGTCCCGGCGCCAGCTGCTCGCCCACGTCGCCCGTGCAGAAGTAGCGCACCCCATCCAGATCGATCCAATCCGAGGAGCCGGGCTCTTTGGCCAAGGTCCCATCCGGTGTCCAGCGCACCAGCGAGAAGTAACCTGGAGTCAGGAGATCCAGTCGCGTAGGGGCCCGAACAACACTGGCCCAACTTACCAGCTCCAGGTGGGCTGACCCTAAGGGTTACTTCAGAATTGCCCACAGCTGCCTGATTCTCCTGCTCTTGACACTGGGTCCAAAAACCCCAGGCTTTCCAGGCACCCGGCCTGCGGCGTCCGGCTCGACCCGTGCGAGGATCTCCCCCCGGGGCGGCACGTCGGAGGTTAAATAGCCCATCTCTGGCAAGTCACGCAGCCGCAGCTCCTCCATTGGAAGCAAAGGGATTGAGGGAGTTCGTTGGTGCCCCGCGAACTCCGGGTTTGACCTTCTCTAAGAGTGGAAAGGCGTGAGGGGGGAGAGGGGGGAAGCGTCATCTCCCATCCATGTCCACTCTCAGGGGAAGGTCATCCGGACTCTGTGGGTCTGAGACTCGCCCTTTGGTGGCAAATGAGTCAAGCCATCCAGTTCGAGCCCAAAAACCGCTTCCAGCGGCCCAAGGGGGCCGAAGGAATTCAGCGGTCTCTCCGCAGCGAAGGGGGTGCTTCGCAACATGGCGAAGTGGGTCGCACCCGATGTACCGTTTGGGTATACCACGGTCGATCAGTAGATCAGCATATCCAGGGCGGTATGTGGATGATGACGGTTGAAAAAGGGCCAACATCTTATGGGCCTTCACCCTTAAAAACACCAAAATCATGTTACTCATGTTGCTAGGTCTTTGTCGGTTGAACTCAGATAATCCTTGGGCCAAACCCTGTGCAAAGTCATCGGGCAACTCTCATCACCCACAACCACTCCATCCTTGGCGCAGGCGCCGTTGCTGGCCAAACGCCCCGTCTCAGTGCAGCCATAGGAATCCTCAGTTTCAGTATGTTTCAGTGATAGGCTCCAAGTCAAAACCTAGCCATCAACTGGAAACACCATCCCCCTCCACCCTCCTCCCAAGGCTCGATGACCATCCGCCCGAAGACTCGCACCAACCACCGCTGCACCTCGTGTGGCAGGGCCGCCCCGGTGGACACGAGCGCCCCCAGGCGGTTGCCCAGCGGCCGGCGAGCACGCCAGACCTCGCAGGTGCGCGCGAAGGCGGCGGCCTGCGAGGTCTGGCGAGGTCTGGCGCGGTGCTCCTCGGCCACCTGGGAGAGCGGCACTGAAACACGTGGTGCATACATCTGTAATATAACATACATATATATATATATATATATACGTGTGTGTGTGTGCAAATGTAGACCTAGTTGGCACAAATGAGTTAGGACTTTGGTGGTCGGATGAGTTAGGACTTGTCTGGGTTAACTCCTAACTCATGTATGTTGGGATGATGGACATGTCCTATATAAACTAAAGAGGTGGGAATGACATAGGGGAACCCTGCCTGGAACTCTCATCTCACAATTGCCGGAACAGGTTTCGGACACAAGATTTTACTTGTTTTTTCACTGCCCCAGGCTCATGAGCTAGGAGTTGTATGCAAAAATTGTTCAATGGGTATCCAAAAGACTCCAAAAAGATTCCAGACCACATGAGATAGGACTCCATAGGACTCATGGTTTTGGGTGTATCTCCGCTAACTGCTAACTCCGAATTCATGCCATCTCTACTCCCACGCGGCGGAAGGGCGCCCCGGGACCCCAACAGTCGGACTCGACCACGTCCAGTCAGTCCGGGGGATGGTGAAAAACCATGAAAGAACCACCGTCCTGTGAGCCTGATGCAGTGAGCAGGATGATTCATAGCCCTATGGAGATTGATCAACAGTCTAAATACTTTAGGCTAGTCGCCTGATTCAATCTGAGATTAAGGGACCCTACTCAGGCTTAGCCATGGTGTCTCAGCCCACCGACCCAGCGGAAAGGAGGAACGGACCGGGTTGAGCACCAAACAAAAGCGCTGCAGGATTCTTCTGAAAAGGTGTGGTGGCATGTCTCAACATATTTCGGACTCCGGCATTGACCTGCCAGAGGCCATGGGTGGGAATTTCGTACACATCGTTTGATCATGTACATGTATCATGACTATACGTAACAACCCCCTGCATACCTGGCACACATGGACGGACTCCCCGTTCCCCCCCCCCACCTCCTTCTCAAAGTCTCGGAACCACCCTTCTCACACCGCCGGCGGCGCAGCAAAGGCCGTGGGCCGCAGCGTGTGCGCGTCGCGCAGGAGGCCGTCGCCCAAGCGACCGGAGAAGGCACCGATGCGGCCGCCCTGCAGGAGGACCTGCGGGTTGGAAGAATCGTCGCAGTCCGGCCGAACAGCGGTCCATGCGGTAGCAGCTCGGGCTGCGGGTTGGAAGAGGGAAACAGGGATGGTGGAGGTTTTGGGGGGCCTTGAACAAGCCAACGGCTGTCCGAATTGCCAAAGTGTGGTGGTGATTCTCTGCCAGTCCAAGAGGGTACAAGTGTCCCACAAAATGGGAGAGGAGAGGGAACACTCGGGAAGTTAAGATATGTAGTTCTGCAAATGTTGATTCACTCTTTTCGTCTCGTCTTGGAAAGATTGACAACAAGTAGTGGCTCGACAAGTGGCTCGACAACGTTGTTGAAATCGTCTCGTAAAACAGCTCCCATTGAAACTATCTCTTTGAAATCACCTCTCCACCTCTTAAAACAGACCTAACTGCTCCCAACTCCTTCAGCAACCCTGACCTGGTGGCTTTGGCGGAAGGCCTCGTAGGCCTTGGGCACAGACACTCGTCGTGACAGCATGTGGCAGTCCGGTCGCAATGGGGTAACGGACGGAAGGTCAACCTACATGGTACCTGGTAGACCAAATAGAGTGCACAACCTACATGGTAGACCAAATAGAGTGCAGTACCAGGGAGGTCACCAGCATTTGGAGGTAGTTCTGATGGCCCAAAATGGGCCTATCAAAGCCAAGACACGGAAGGCGTCGACACGCGGGGATCTACGAACTTCTATCTATTTGTGGGTCTAGATATAGTAAAGTAATAGTAGATCTTAAAATCGCTCGTCCGCCAGTCCCTAGCGGACGGTTGCTGGCCCCCTGCAGGAAGGTCTCAATCCAGGACCAAAGTCACAGCTCAGGGCTTTTTCAAGAAGAGTGCATCGACTGCCACAGCGTACGAAACGAAATCTGACCAATTGGATATGGGACTGGCTCCACATGAACAAATAGAGTTTAACAAACCTCTTCTCTCCTTGACATGTGCGCTAACCAAAGATCAGCCAACAGACGGCAGATGTGTTCTCATCCGTTCCTGTGGCCATGTCCTTGCAAAAGGGAACGAAGCTTCGTTCCGGCCGGGAGATCCTCCACGAGAACCGCGGGAGATCCCACTAGAGACCGTCAGGGCGCCACCCAAACCCACTCCGAAATCCAACGCATCCCGAGCGCCAAAGACCAACGGCCCGGCCCGGTCAGAAAGCGAGGCGCGTACACCACCACCTCCACCGAGCACTGCACCGCGGCAGTGCCACCTGCACGTGCCAAGAATAGAGGGATAGAAAAGGAACAATGTCATGGGAGGAGGCCTTTTCAACAGCTAGGGGTTGGCTTGATGATATGCTACGTTTCATGCACTTTTCTTTAAAATCGGAAAGTGGACGTCAGCAAAACGATGCAGACAAGCTCCCAGCTCAATGACTTTCTGTGTTGACAAATCCTCAATGCAACCTCACTGACTTAACACTCAATACAAAACACCTCCCCAAAGGGACAAGAATGATATATAATTCCAGTGGTAGTTCCATCATCTGCCCGGTTCTGACTGATCCTCCTTGCTCTTTGTTTGGGGAAAGGCCGTGCGCCTTGGAACAGCATCTTCTCCGTCACTGGCACCAGCTTCGGCTTCCCGGTGCTCCCACTGGACGGCAGCAGCTTGAGGACGAAGCCCTCCTCCCGCCGCACCGCCGCCCCCAGCGGCGCCGCCGCGCCCCGCGCCAGCACCGCGCTCCACCGCTCCGAGCGCCAGGCTCCACCGCCGGGCGCGTCCGGAGCGGGCGCCAGGGCGACCGAGGCTGCGCGCCAGCGGCCGTAGGGGTCGGGAGCATCCTCGATCCAAATCACCCGCCGCAGGGGCGAAGGGATCAACCGTTGAGCTCCGAGAAGCACTGGCCGGAGGTGCTGGGAAAGGATCAAGACGGACATCTTGGTCTGCTCCAGGATTTGGGCCAAGGTCTTTTCATCCGTGCTGCGGTGCATGGTGACCAGTGGCAAACCAGCCAAGGTGCAGGCGAAGTCCGTCAGAAACCACTCCTCACCTCGACTGAACAGCGCCTTCCGCCTTTCTTCAAAAATACTGTTTGAACTGTCAAGCAAATTTGAATATTTTCACCTCCACCTCAGGTAGCAGAAACCCCCAGTAAAAGTTCAGGGTAAGAACACTATAAAATATATATGTATATATGTATTATATATATATATATATATTTATGATGGGTTTATCTAGTTATTTAGTATTTTGACATGCTTTCGCTTGTTTGGGAGGTGATCTGGAAGCAAACCAACCGTGCCCGGGCTCGGCCAGCCGCCCACGGCGCCGCCCACGACACAGAAAGCCCTCTACCACACCAGAGGGAAGAAGCTATTGAGGGTGGAAAGGAAAGGTGTGGTGCCAATCATCCCAAGTCGCTCACAGCGCTGAGGAGTCCCAAAATCACCGAAGGCCCCATGCCATCCACCACCTCTCGCAGGCCCTCTGCAAGCGCTCGCGAGGACATGCCCACCTCCTGGGCTAACCAGTTGGGGCTGGACCAACTAAGCGTGTTGCCCTAGGATTCCAACCACCATTAGTAGATGAAAAATCAAACAAAGAGTAAACCTATTGTCGGCCAAAGAAACACCACACACTCGGCCAACCTTTCTTTCTAATGGTCTTTGAAGACTATATAGGGCTAACATAGGGCTTCGCACAAACCCCGACACGGTGTTCTCAGGGCTTTGATGGAGGCACGTCATATGACATCAAACCACGCCTTGGAAGTCCAAGACCATTTGTAGAATGGTTGTTCCTGATTTTGTAGTGTAGGATCCTGAGTAACACAAGGGTTGTTCGGGTTCAGGCTATTTAAAACAATGGTGGTTCGACTTCTAGTGGCTTCAACTTCTTGGAAGGCTCGCTCTCCTGGACCTAGTCATCGACCTTCAACAGCTTCGAGCACCTGAAGAAGTCTACCACCGTGCAGGCGGGGAAACGACCACCGTTCCCCGCAACGGTGAAAACAATCATTCCCCGAAACCGCCCCGGACACGCAGCGACAACTGCCGTCTCCTCGTAGGAATGCCAGTTGCAATCCAGGCCCTCCGCCTCGAGCTTTTGTTGAGTACAACAAGGTCTTGAGGAGCCCCCAAAGCAACCCCGACGCTCTCCGTTCAAGAGATCTCACTTCCATCACATCGATCTAGCAAACTTCCCAAAAACTGCCAGGGAATTGTCGCCCTACCGCCCTGCCTCTGTTCTTCCTGGGCAGGTGCCCAAACACGGGCGCGTCCGGTAGACGTCGAAGGACGCCAACATCGAGTCCCCTACCGTGCGTGCGCAGGACAAGGCCGTGGAGGGAGGCACCGTCAGCGGCAGCACTTCGCAGTGCAGGTGATGCGGATGATCTTGCAGTGCAGTCAACAGAAAGTGACTTCAATGATATCAAATGATGTCGCAAACAAACACAGACAAAAAAACTGCTGCGAGTCTTGAGACCTATAATTCCACCCTGCCAGGCCTCTCCTGGAACCACATCGAAAACAGTAGAAGAACTGCTCACAGCTTCCGCATGTGTAGGCCACTTCCAGTGGCAGTAGGAGCCGATGGCACCGGTGGCAATTCCACAACCGGTGGCTCCTCAGAAGGGTGGCTTGGTGCGTTTTTTGTTGCTCCAGCTGCCCCAATGTTCATGTCATGTCGCAGCTTAGCAAGTAGTTTAAAAGGTACGCTACCTGCAAAACCCATATACGGCTTGAGGTGCTTAGTGATTGCCGTTTGCTTGTTTAATGTTAAGTTTAGTTGATATACTTGTTTGATGTACTACTTTGATCTGCTTTGCAACCTCTGCACGCCTCTCCTTTGAAAATGAAAGAGAAGAGACTTCCAGCCATAGTTCCTCATTGCCCAAATCCACGCCCACAGGCTATCGGAGCACATCATCCGCCAGCCCATCAGCACCAACGACACACCCAGTACAGCATACCGTCCGCGACATGCCGTAGTGCCACCAGAGCAAGGCTCCATGCAGCTTGAACCAGCGCCTTTGGCGCCTTTGGCGCCTTTGGTTCTTTGTGGGACACCTTTGAAGGTTGCTAGCCTTCTTGGATGACTATGCTGTGACTACTGGCAGTAGGTGGTGGTGGCCAAACAAAGCACAAATTCGTCACATGTTCTGGGTTCTAGGCCTCTAAGCCATGGCCTATTGGGAGGCTGGAGGATGCCACATTATGGCACGAGTTGGTGCTTCCAAATGGTGCCGGCATCTTTTCTTCCATGAAAAGTGGGATTCTTACTGCCGGGTGCCAGTTCATCATGACCCCGTTCGGACCTCTTGCATGCACTGAGCCCGTCGAGAATCAACCAACAAGCCATGTCGACGGAGCATGGCAGAACTATCAGTGCCTCTGATCATGTTCCACCCACCCACCTGGTCCTTGATACCGACACACTCCTCAGGACCGAGCCGCCGCTTTGCGGCTCTGCTCGTGCTCTACTTGACCCGTTCTTCACATGGACCGATTCTGCAGGACATCAGGACCGATTCTTGAGTGGGATGCTGCAGCCCCATGGTGAAACGAGAGGACCCCCCCCCCCGCCTCCGGCATATTCGGACAACGCCTCGCAGCGAATAGGCGACGAAGGTTGGAGAAGCTGAAGATGGTGGGCCCTCTTGAACAGCAACTTCATGTAGACTCTTGATTCAGAAGGCATCCCCCAAAAAAGGATTGGATTGAACCACCTTGCCCTTTGGGGTCTTTATCATTCAGCAAGAGTCAACATTCAAGCGGTCGTCTTCTCCAAAAACCAAAGGTCGCCGAGGACGGGTCGTGTGGACCCGCACCCTTCGGTGGGTCGAGGCGGTCACTCTCGGACGACGCCTCTTCAAGGAATGCAGGATGGAAAGCAACAACCAGCCAACCCAAGGGTAAGTGAGCGTGAATAGGACCCGTCACCGATAGTCGAACTGTCGGGTCCTTGAACCTCAGTTTAGAACAGGTTCGGGGGCCCAACTACATACCCAGTCATGCCCTGGTTGCACTGTTAGGTCGAGTCTAGCCGTGCATATTGGCCAAACGGGGGCGCCCTGCCTCGCCACGCGTGGTCGACCGGGTTGGATGGGCCGGTTCGGCGCCGAAGGGCGCCGAACCGGGGTAAGCCGGGAGGGGTCGTGAAGCGCCAAAGCGGAAGGGGGCGCCGAAGCGATTGGAGCTACACGAGTGGCCCGGACCGAGTGCTCTTGGCCAGAAGGACGGTGAGAATGAGAAGGGTGGAGCTGCTCCACAACCGTTGGTTCATAAGGGTCTTTGCAACAGAAGTTTGCTTTACTGAGTTTATACTACAAAGCCAGGTCAGCCATAGTTTAAAAGGTCTTTCAAGGCTGGGGTGTTAGTTGGAGTTTCCTAGTCAAACCTCGCCATTCACTGGCCAAGCCGCGCGATGGCCACAGTCTCCGGACCCAAAATCCGCGAGAGCAAGGAGCCGCCACCGCACCACTCCATCAGTAGCTGCACCTCGCCGTGCGCGAAAACCAAGAAACGTGAGTCTGGATCTGTCACCGGCATCTGCGTGGCCCAAAAGCAGTTGACATGTCCAACCCGGCCACCCGCCCGCCGTCGCCTCCGTCATGGCGTTGCCGCCTTTTTGGCACGCTAGTTCCTCGACTGCAACAGCGTCAGAAAGGAGGGAGGGAGAGAGAGAGAGAGAGAGAGATCAGGAGTAGGAAAAAAGGCTATGTAACAGATACAAGCACATAATGAACAAACACACACATTTACGTAACCTTTCGGCAACTATGCTACACAGTGCACAAACAACAAAAACACAGAAGGGAAGAACACAAAAAGGAACCAATGGACTGGACACCCAAAAAACATGGAGGAAGAAAAAAGCACTCCACAAGCTGGAGGAAACTAAATGGTCCGCAGTAATCACGGTTGCTAACGGCGATCACCGGATGCAACGACAATGACCGTGTTTTCGGCTGGCGGCCTTGTGAGAGAAGTACTGCACCAAGAACTCTCTCCCTGCATGTCTCCCCTGCCAGCCAAAACTTGGAGTGGCACACAAAACTCTCAGAGTCCACGCAACTTGCCCACAAAATCTGCAGTCTTGTACATTTCGGCCCAGGAGGCTGGGCACCCTTCCCCGTCACCAGTCCCAGCAGGTCGCCTCCGAGCTCGCACGCTTCAGGAGCTCCACCTCATTCCGCGCCAGGTCCAAACGCTCCTCATCCTGCGCCGAGAACGGACTCATGGCAGTTGGTCAGGGTGCATCAAGCTTCCGCATCTGACTGGGCATTGAACTGCAAACTCACACAGGTAGTGTTCAAAACGCAGGTCGACTCTCAGACATTGCATGCCCACACATCGGGCCACCTGCCCAGCAAGAACGCTCCATCACAGAACCTCCCCAACTCCCACGTAGGCAGCTGTACAAGGCCTAGCTCGCGCATACTCACCCCAAACAGCAACCCCGCACGTGCCCACCTGGCAAATGGTCTTTTTCAATGCCATTGTGGTAGGGAGCCGCTCATCATCAGGACCCCGGTCGGCCACCAAATGCACACGCCTTGCAGCAATTGTTGGCCGGTGTCCAGGGACCACTTTTGTGGACAATTCAGACGGGAACCTTACCCAAGCATGCAAAGTGTCAGTCATATATTATAAAACCAAGAAAGGCGCGTTGGGTTGATGTTGCTTGTTGGGTGCTCTATCTGCATCAATGGCTACTTCAAACGAAAAGAAGTCAACGGAATCCTCAAAGGTCAACCTGATGATTCGACCATTGGTGATTGCTCAACGCTTCACCTCCGGTCGAGTCATGCGTAATAGAGACTAACAGAGACTGGTCTCACAAAATGTTCGTGACCAAACCAGCGCCCATCTTACACCTCCGCCAAGGTGCCATATGGTGGAAAAGCCACCCTCACCAACTTGTCCTTGCTCACGGACTTGCAAGCCATCAACATCATGTTGCTGCGCCTTGGCACCCCACCGGCATGGTCAACACCGTGTTGAAGAAACATCGAAAGCGAACACATCACCAGGAATCAATAAAAGGTATTTCAACATCCTGGGGCTGCGGCGTCAGCTGAAAAGGTTGTACAGTCTTTTACCGGTTACCGGGGCGTGAATGTGAACATGCCAAGTCCAAACCAGAATGCAATCAACACAGACATCATTTGGTTATTGCCTCAGCCTAGGCACCCTCAGCGCGGCACACCATGCGAACATGCCGATCCATGCGGAGGGACACCTGTCTCACCAGCCATTGCATCTGGGATACCGTGCCAACAAACATGTATGACGATTATGATTGACCTTGTCAAAAGCCATGGGGCAAGACTGCTTCTGCACTGCTATCCTTTGGAATGGGGATACTGGGCAGGGTTTGGTGTGAGCCCGCCATCGTTCTAATGGTTTAGAACACTGGTGTAAAACAAAGCCTGCAAACAAAAGGCAGTCGCTTCATTCATGGTTAAAGAGTGTCCGACTCACATGCTATGGCGACCAGAATTTCCAGGCCCCTACAAAGCCCATGCGGACAATTGTCTATTCACATTCAATCAAGCTTCGCTTTGTCAGCTTTCATTGCTTCGTCCACCATGCACGAGAGCCAGGAGTCAATGATACAGCCAATCTGCCAATTGCGGCGTTCAACCCACATTGTGAGCTGGACAGAGTTGGACAGCCTTGTCCTTCACAAGGTCGTTCATCCGTGGTTAAGCCAACAGCACCCAACCCCCTTTTGATCCGCCTGCATAATGCCTTTACGACTTCCAAACATGCATGTTCCTGTCGTGAGGCTGTGCTCAGCAGGAAGCTGCACCAAAGCCATAGACGGCCTGTTGCGGATTACGTCTCAAACACCTGTCGCATTCAATTGGGAGAGCTTTGATGCAAATTCAATCAGCGTCTACGAGATTGTACACTCAGTGTGGTTGTCACCCACATGCATCTCGAGCTCTCTCTCTCCTGCTACCCCAACTGCTAAAATATTTAAACTGAACTAAACCATATAGCTACCGTGAGCGATTGCAGGTCTTCGCCAACAATCCTGTACTAAACTTGCGAGGTGCTTCAGAACCCCGCCTAAGTGGGCAAGCAGCTTCTGGCAAGGAGGCCAACAAAGGCTGATTCAACAAGCCTCACCAAAAATTGTTTGCTCTATATATATATATATATATCAGTCAGAAAGCGCCTATAGAAGCTGATTACGCCTCAGCTGGCCAGGCTGGCCATCGCCAAATTAACCTGCATCATTGGAGGTCTGGGGTGTCTTACCTCTCCTTTGTTGCTATCTGCACCCCTTCATAGTGAATCTCGGCAAAGAAGACCACATGAATGGGGTTGCCGAATTCTGGCTCAATCTGAACCCAGGCCCTCTTCACATTGTCCGTAAGTAGGCGGATCTCCCTTTGATAGTGGTGGGCCAAAGCGTGCAAAGTGATGTTGTCACCCCAATCTCCCTCTGACATGCCCTTGACATACTGGTCAAATTCACGCTCCACATCATCATCTGGAATCTTCTCAGCTAGCAGGGCGGGAGAGCTGTGACGCCTTACTACCAGGCTCGATTTGTATTCATCGCGGTGCTGCATGATCCAACGTACTGCATGTCCTCTTACGGTCTCATGGTCCTCGCCCACTGCAAATCCAACGGAATGGAACTGGCAGTGCCCATCTGCCGGGGATTTGTGCAACGTCCAACCCTTGGCTTGCAGGATGCACTTTTGGAGCTGCGAGGGTTCTATCTGATTGCCGTAGCATCGTGGCAAACCAAGCTGCTGCTGCTCCACATAGTCGCGGAACTGCTGCACAAACCTCTCACAAACGTCGCTCTGCACATCGATCAACAAATGTAAACACAGCATAAACACAGCGCTGACACAGTATAAACACAACATTCTCGCCTGCATCTGGCTTCAGGCGTCACGCAGGAGCTCAGCAATGGCTCAAAAGCTTCGCCCATGCCGTGGTCCTCGTCCCACACCAAAACCAAGCGCTCCAGGTCATCATGCTGAATTCTCACTCCTTGGCTGTTGAATCGTCGGTGTACTTCTGTCGTACCTTTTGTTTGAATGAGGTTTTGCACGCGACGTACACTTTGCTTCTGCGGTTGGTAGCTGTAGGTCCTTCGTGCTAATAACACGGAGCTGCTCGCTTTGCAAGAGCCATGATCAAAACAAAATGAGATGGGCCACACCATATTTCGGAGCTGCTGGGTGCCTCTTAGTGTCAAAGCTAACTGCTCAATACTGACCTATGCCTCTGTCTGTCGGGCCGTTGTTTCCATGGCACGGCTTTTTCTTGGTACCGGGCACTGGCGTTTGCACCTCCAGCACATCATTTGTAAGAGCGATCTTTCTTGAGTCTCAACTCCCCGTCACCTAAACAGCTGCCAGGTCATGATTGTTCCGGGACAGCTGCATTGCAAAATGTCGTCAAGGCTCTGCTTGATGAAAGATAGACTGATTATGCTATTGCCACCGCTACTACCACTCCTCCTCCTACTACTGCTACTACTGCTTCTACTGCTATGATGACAATGACGATGAAAGCAGCGACGACGACGACGACGACAACTACTACTACTCCTCCTCCTACTACTAGTACCACCACCACCACTACTCACTACTCCTGCTGCAAGGGCTAGGACAGGAAGAGCCGTGGACTCACGTGGGGTCAATTGCCTGACTTGGAAACAGCAACTGCATCATGGCGTCACCATTCGCTGAGACGACAGCTCCTTCAAAGGCCAAGGAAGTCTGCCAGCACAAATGTTAGCACACGGCTCGAACCAATTGCCAACTCTCACATTTCATCAAGAACGCATACCGCCTAGCGCTGTTAATCTTACAGTGGGGAGCACATGCGAGAAATCTGCCCTCACATATGATTCATGGCAGATTTCTGGCCGGAACAATGCACTGATCCAAGAGGGCGTGTATGAGTGTCTGCGTGCTCAAGGCTGGAAAAGTCTCACAACCTTTCTACAGTTCTGAGCTATATACATGAGGCACATGCCGTGCCTGGTAGGGGTAGGAATTTGAAGAGAATTGCCGCCACAGCCAGAGGAGAAATAAACAACAGGTAAAGACTCCATGTAGACCACCGACATCCGTGTGCTGCACATGTGCTTTAACCAAGCGAGGATGGCCATCTCTCTCACATCATTGACCTGTCAGTTGTGAATTGCCTCCAAAAGTGGGTGGTGGATGACACCAAGACGAGGTGCTACCCGGACGGCATGTATAATTTGGATTATACAAGATATGCATCAGCAAGGCAGCCGCGGAAACGTATGTCCAGCAAGGGAATTCGCCTAAAGCCAGTGAATCTAATATACATGGACCCTTTCCAGAGCCATGTCCCAAAGACACACACACACCTAGCAAAAACCAGAAAGGGCAACAGCTGAAGATGTGTTCGCCCATCGCGGAAATTGGAAGAGTACAGCCAGAACGTTTGGCGGCCAGGCCAAACCTGTGTAACTAATGGCTATGCTACCACGCTTCCGGCCGCTTGGCTTGTAGAACTTGGGTATGCGCTGCCTGTTCGTCGTCGACTATCAACGAACTTCTGAAGCACCGTGCGCATGAAATCGGAGCCTTAGCTTTGGAGCGACACGATGAGGCAATCTCAATCAATCAACAAGTTGCATCAATCGGTACCATGAAAGCCGAAAAATCCCCGCCTCCAAGACTGTCAGGCTTGCTTGTGACACCCTGCAATACGGCCAAGCACTGTGCGTCATGGATTATGGATTGTTGGCTTTGGAGCTTTGGTTCATTTCATTCATGGACTAGTGAAAGGCAAACCTAGTGGAACAGTTCACTGTGTTTGACCCGCGGCCGGCCTGCTCTTGACGCTGGGCCGCTGTGTTGCGGCCTGCTGCAGCCTGCATCGCAGAAGTAGGCTGACCAAAGGTCCAGCGCTCGCGGGGTGAGAAGCGAGAGGCCTCTCTATTCTATTCTATTCTATTCATTATGTTGGCCGCTCCACCCCCGAGAGGTAGGGTTGCGAACGCTGCTCTGAGGCTGGACAGCGACAAGACCCCACCTTCTTCACCGAAGCAGTGGCGCTCTTCTGTTGCTCATCTTCTTCGTCTGATTCAAGGCCCTGCTCCTCAGGAGTGACATTCCGAGTGAGCGTTTGTTCGTGCGCCACGTTCATAGTACTCTCAGGCTTTGTGCTGCAAACATGGGGAAGCCAAAAATGTGGTTCATGAAGCCTGCATTGTGTACCATCTACTCTGGAACTACTGCACCTTCCCTGGCAATTGAATTCTGATTATTAAAAAAAGCCCCTCCGGTTGGGATGAGTCCTTGTTCTGAGCGCTGAATCTTCTTGCCTTTCGAGGGCCTGCCCCACGACCAGCCTGTGGTGGTCGCCAGCCAGACTGAACCAAGCCCTTGGCCATGCCGCCGGCTACGGCTGGGTCAGTAGACGCAACCAATGCAGGCTTGGGAGGGACCAGGTAGGGCTCACGGATCTGAGACCACACAGAGCGATAAAGCTTCAGGGCTGCCATCACGTGCCCCTTGTTCCAATCATTCCAGTACTCCAGTTCAAGTGGGACTGGCACCTCGAGGAGCTCTTCACCTTCTTCCACTTTGCCGCGAACTTCATCAAGTTCGTCCAAGACGTCCATTTCGGTGACCAGCGTGCAAAGTCTTGGAGCTTCTTGAGGCTTCTCAAGGTCAGGGATGGCCAGTGGCAAATCGCTTGCCAAGTAAACAGTTCGTGCGACCAAGCGGCATACCACAGCAAGGATTTGTGGACACGTCCCCTTGAGCTTCTCCAAGACATCTCCCAAAGAATTTGGAAGTTCTAAGGATGCTGTGTACTCATCTCCGGTATCTAGAGTCTTAATGCTCACACCCCTGGTCATTGCAAGCATATCTCTTGAAAGCAAATGAAGAGCCACAAGTGCATTGAGCGGAACCGTAGCGATGTCTGGCAGGTCTGCCTTGGTCGTGGGATGGAGAAAAAATGGAATGCAACGACTCAGCCCCCGCTCAACGGCAAGGTTTACCCAAAACAGCAGCTTGGAAAATGCTGATGGTTGGGCGTTCGTAGCCGGCATCTCTCTATGAATGTGCTTCAGCTGTGTTCTAGCAAATGTTGCAATGCAGAAAAGCAAACTAACCCTGTAGTCATCGTCGTCGCCTGTGTTTCACACTGTGCGGGTTGGAAACTCAAACAAGAACAGTGGCATCGGAACGCAAGGCACGGCTCCAAAAGCTGTGTCCGATCATTGAGGAACTGAGTTGATAGTTGATACACACGCACAAAAATGGATACACGAGTACACACTTGCCACTCCTCAGCTCTGCACAATTCGCATCAGTGCGTCAGGGTGATTTTCACATTTCCGATCTCGATGCGGGGCCTGGTCAACCAAAGTGAACACCTCCACAAACTCCTTCAACGTCATGTCACTGCGAAAGGCATGCGTGGAGTTGACACCCAGCAGGAGCGCAATCAAATCACCGGTGATCTTACTCACCTCCAAGGCATGGGATGTATCACGGAAGAATGAGACTTCGAGGCCTTCAGCCTTCTGAACACCCAGCGCTTCACCCAGAGACACTTGTTGCACCACTCGGGAGCCTTTGAGTCGGTTGAGGATTCGTACGTCCACACTGCCATGAAAGAGACGGTATGGGAAGGCATCAATGTCTCGGTGTAAATCTTTGTGATCCTGGCCGCCACGATGGCGCTCATTCTAGAATCTAGAAGGGAAGTTGCTAGCAGTTTGCAGCAATACCCAGTTCATCCTTCCGTTCATACATGTTCATAAGATGTTTTAAGTATCTTCTGTCTCCATGGATGGGTACCCTTACCCGAGCACCGTGGTTAGAGGAATAAAGCTGAGGAAAGGCTTGGCTAGTTGAAATTTACATCAAAATTGTGGGCCAGAAATTCAGGTGGCGGGGCGGAATTATGAGCGTGGGTCCAAATTGCAGTTACTCATGCCTCTGGTCCCACCCATGCACAAGCCTCGACACAAGCTGATGAAAAAACGTTGATGTCACTGCCTGTCCTGTTCTTGGCCCATGTCACAGTAGATTTGCAGCGGCCGCCGCCCTGCAACTAGCCTCCATGCAAGGTCATTCTCCATGGCCTCAAAATCGTGCTCACCTCGAGGTGGAGGATCTGCACTCCATGGAAGCTGAAAGAAGCCTTGGCAGAAAGTGCTGATCTTGTAGTCTAATCGGAAGGTCCTTGGATCATGAGGGTCTGCATCATCGTCCACTGTGCATGCATCCTCAAGCTGAGATGGAAAAACGAACAAGTCCGTGATGGCGGCATGCTGTACCAGCTGAACAGTCTGCTCATAGGCCATGTCTGCCGCTGGCTTGCACTGGCCACCAGGCTTGCACAGCCGTGCTGAAGAGTGCAATCTAGCTCTCACATGTGCAGAGGTGGCATTCTGCGGATCTAAGTAGGCATTGATCTGTGCAACCAACTTGTTGTGACTCACTGCTAAGTGATGCAAACCAAGTGCGGCAATGTGCTCCGGCCTGTCAGCCTGGTTGCCTACAGGAATGTCACCATGCTGCGGCTTCTCCGGATCTGCAATGGGGCATGCGAGTGACAATGGTGATTCGAGCGTAACTTTTGGAAGCCGGATGACTCCACAGCCATCTCGCAACCTGTCAGATGCCAAAGCTGCATTCCAAGCCGCCTCGAAATTGCGGAAGGCAATCCAGGCTTGGTGCCGCTCATGACCCTCTCGGCTTTCAAGCCACTCTCGGATGGTGGTTGTACGGGCAATCCTCATGGTGATCTTGCCTCCCTCCTTGTCTCGCACCAGCTGCATGAACGGCAAAATCCACGCAAGACTTGCAGCTCGAAAAAGGTCAGGCAGAATACTCCACGAGATTCGATCTTCCTCTACACCACCCATAAGCCACCGCAAAATGACAAAGCGTTCCCCCCCCATGCTAGCAGCAACCAATTCTTCAAAGGTGTCCTCTGTTGAGACCGTCACTGAAGGCCGGAGAATGTGCACGAGCAACGCTGCACGCACCTCTTCCCTCATCTTGACCCAAGCATCAGCTGGAAGGCCCCTGCGGGCCAACAAGTCAGTCGTCAAAAACTTGTTAGGATCTGTTCCCTGGCCAGCCTGCCTTCTCAAAGCATGAACGCCAGGCAAGGGAAGATCTCCGGCGCTGCTCTTCTTGCCCAAGATCGGTTCAACTACGCTTTCGTGAAACCAAGCTTCATAAGCAGTTCGAGCATCGTGAGTCGTGAGGCTGTCTGCGTTTGGCTGCTCATGTGGCTGTAAGGATCCCAGCCGGTGAAGCACTGCATGCACGAAGAGTGTTGCTACTTCCAGGGTTCCGTTCAGCAACTTTGCAAGGGCAGCCAAGTCAGCTTCCACATTCGCCATAAAATACCACACTGTATCATTGGCATTCCTGACTGAGTTCATCCGAGCGACTGTTCGAAGGTGCTCTTGCAAGAGCTGGACGATGTTCTCACGCTCCTGCACCCATTCCATCTCAATCCCAACCAAGGCACTTGCATGGATCAGAAGGTGAAGCACTCGAAAAGTCACGGGGTGCAACCCGCTACTGGGATCCGGTGGCTTGCCAAGCGGCTGGTTCCAGTTCTGGCGAACTGTTTCAGTCTTGAGGCTGTGGGAGACTGCTGCTCGATCCTCTGCTTTCACGGAGGTCTGGAAATCCGCTGTCAGCGAGAAAAGGCCAGGAGAAGGCAGTGGGGGGCAAAAGGCCTCTGGGAACTTGTTCTTCATGGAGGGGTACACCGGAGGCCATCCATCTCCATGCGGCGCCTGAGTCACCACTACTGCAATCAGCTTCTGGTGGGGCTCAAATTCGTGGTTTTTGCCTCCAATCATCAAAGTACAGCTGCCTTCACCCTCCGGGCTCGGACACTTGGCAGTGGACACTGGTGCACCACATTCGGCATAGCAATAGCGGTACCCGCACCGACACTGCGCCCAAACAATGTTCCCTGTCGCAGGGAGCAAGTGTTTGTGCAAGCCTGCGTGCCTGAGGGCCTGCCACCAATCATCAGGCAAACCCGGCCAAAACACAGAATTTAGGATCTGCTCATCGATGTGATTGAAGGCTGTAAAGGGCTTGACTGCTGGTGGCACATCCTGCCTCTGGTTGGCGCTGGTGTGAGCAGCACCATGGAAGCAAACGAGGTGCGCGAATATAGATGCTTTCCAAGCATGTTCAGCATCCAGGTTCATGAAATCGATGTTCCAGTCAGCCTCTTGATCTGCCTTCAATCGCAGAAGCTCCGCAGCAGGCCCCAAAATGTTAGGCAATCCACGGGCTACTCGGCCTGCTCGATCGAGTGCTTCTTCATCTTCGGAAGAGCATTGCATGCAAACAACTTCACCAACTGCCCGCATGGTCTGAAGCAAAGCCCGGAAGTTGTTGCTTTGCTCACTGCACAGGACTTGAAATCGCTGCACAGCTTCTTCTGAGCAAAATTGGTCTTCTAAACCGACATCATTCAGGCAGTTCACTGTGACCTTGATTTCGTGGGTGTCTTGGTCTGGCAGCAGCATCGACAACCCAAGTGCATTGGAAAATGTCACGACTTCTGCTCTACAACTTTCAAGGAAGCGATGCAAAGTACTTTCACCCCCTCCAGCTTTTAGCGCAACCACCTCCAGTAAGTGCTTCACGGCTGTGTTTGTTGGAAGTGGTCTCTCATGGCGTCGAGTGGCTGCAACGACATACAAGGATGCAAAAGCTGTGGGAATCTGATCCACAGACAAATCTCGACCATCGTTTGTGCAGAAGGCAACTCCAGCGTCCTCCGGCACAGACCCATTAAGCTGCATGTCCAAAGCCTCAACGAAAAGGTTCAAGACACTGTCCAACCTCTGCTCAAACATCTCGTCTTCCACTGCTGCCTCGACCAAGTCAACACTGTGCACTACAAGCTCTGTGGTGAGAACCAACGCAATGAAGACTTGAGCTTTCTGCGAGGCTTTGTCCTGCAGTGTGCGCAAAGCCTTTGCAAAAGATTCTTCTAGCATCCTCAGAGCCTGCCGTGATGAGTTTCCAAATTTCTGCTTCAGCGATTGGCTGACCAATTGAGAGACGACCAGGCCAAGTTGCGATGTCAAGGACAAGGTGGACGCCAAAAGTCCAACCAAAGGGATATCCCATCCAACACCCTCTGCCCTGGATGGCAACAAACTCTCCAGAAGCTGCATCAATGGAGCGCTGGTTCCGAGTTCAGCGTTTTGATCCTCCATGAGTGAATGGAAGGACCCAAGAATCTCCGTGGAAACTTGCTCTGCCTCTGACCAGCTGCTGAAGCTTGAAACCCGAACCCTGGGCACTAAATGCTCCATCACGCAGATCGAGACCTGCTGAAGGTAAGTCTTGAGTCGGTGCAACTCTTGGAAGCTGCTGCCTGGGCGATGAATGGCTTGGCGCATCAGCATCAGGCAAGCCTGGAGTGCGGACGGATCCGCTTTCGACTCCTCGCTTAGGAGCTGCAAGGCGTAAGATACTCCAACAAGTGGGATGATGATATCAATGTCTGGCACTCCCTCAACAAGACCGGCCAAAGCCGAAAGCACGTGCTTTTCAGAGTTGTTCCTGCGAACGGATGACGAAAAACTGATCTTCAACTAAAACCTCAACGGGAACCTCTAGCCTAGCAAACTTGGATTATATATACCTATACTATGTGTATGTGTATGTGTATGTGTGTATGTGTGTGTTGACCATTATTTGAATCATGTGTCGGGGACTGCTCTCTGATCAGCGAGCCTCATGAAGGTCCAAATGTTGACAGCCTGCTCCGGCGAAATGCCATGGGAGAGCATGTGGCTGATGGCCGCAACTCTGACCTGCAGTGCGCTCCGCTGGGGCTGGCCATGCAAGGGAGCGAACAAAGACCCTGTGACTAGACTATATAAAGCATCAGAGGCAACTTGGCAATCCATGCGCGCAATTTGTCGGCAAAATCTGACTGTCTCTGCCGGTCTGTCTCCCGATGGACAAGCGACAAGGCATGCATCACTGCAGCCCAACGCGATGATAAAATCTTCAATGGCTACAGACAGCTGACGTAGGAGTTGCAAAGACTCCTTCAAACGAATGGATTTCCAGGACTGTTGGAGAAATATCACACTGCCAAATCACCAGAAAGGCTGTGGGAGGCTGTTTAGCATCAACTGTCCAAAAGCATCTTCTTAATTGGGGCACGCCGGGCACGCGCAAAGAAGGGACCTGTTCTCTTTTTGTTGATTGACCTTTCTGATTCCACTGTTCTGAGTCCAGCTTTGCACGAACTGAGACTTTGGCATATTGGACGTGCTGAGTTTTGCAGGTCTGAAACAGCAATGCGATGTCACAAGGAAACACACAAGCAAGGCAGCCAAGAGCAGGTGAGGAGCAAGGAAGCAAAAGCTACGGGCAGAAAGAAGCGGAGACATGTAAGACAGCAACAAGCAGAAAACAATCAGGAAAGCTACCAAATACAAATCAAAAGCAAAGGGCAGAACGCGGGCCAGAAGCAAAAGAAACAAATAAGAAAGGAACAAAAAAATGAAATCAAGCAACCGTGTCAAATTGTAGTGGCTGTTGCTAAAGGCGTGTTTCATGCAGCTAGCTTGGCTATCTTCTCCTCGGCTTTCAATGCTCGACAAAGTTGGAGTTGCGCAAAAATGTGGGACTTGAAAAATCACATAACATTATGATGCACTAACATATGCCGGCATTCTGAAGCAACTCTCAGTTTAGTTTTCCTTGTTGCCCCTTCATGCCCATGAGCATGCGTCCTGAACATCATCACCAAGAGCAGCACTCAAGCACAGCGACTCTTCCAAATCTGAAGCATGTAGGTGAAGCGCCGCTCGAATCCCATGTTCAAAGAAGGTGTTCCAAGTTCTATCCACTGGGAAAGGGTGCAGCAAAGGCTCCAAGTACTCCACCCAGCTGCGCGCCGTTGGAAATTGCTTTTCCAGAGCAGCCACCTGTTGCGAGACAGGCAGCAGCAACACTGCCGCTACTGCTGGCAAAAGCGCTCTGAGTACATGTGGATCTTCTCCGGACGGTGATTCCTGCTCATCCGAGTCACCAACATCAGTTGCCTGCGCGGCCAAGTTGCAGATCAAGGCCTGGATGAGCACTTCAAGATGGCCACGGACGGATTCAAAAGTCGCTTGGCCCAGGCCTTCCCCCTCATGCAGGGAGGCACATGCACGAGAGGTCATCTCAATGATGACATCATGACCCAGCAGGCTGATCACATCGTTTGCTGCACCAAAGGCCTCAGGATTGCCAGCTGCCTTTAGAGCTTGCCACAGTGCTCCAGGCAGGCAGCGGCGCAGGACTGCAGAAAGCCGGATGGTTTCATCAAGGAGGACTTCAGTGAAGTCTTTCTCTGGCAGCCTATCCTTCCTTTGAAGCTGAGGTAACATGATTTGCATCACGGCAACGCTTCCAGGCATGAGTAAACTTCGTCGGTCACAGGCGTGAAGCTGCGACGTCATTGGCTCACAGTCTTGGTGTTGAGTGGCGCAGCTCAGGACTTGGTTCAGCAGCGATTCAGCCACTGGCCTCCAGTGCACACGTTGTAGGTCATGTTCCACTGATTCTTCAGTTGGACAACTGCTGGACAAACTGTGTAGCCACACGGCCTTCATTGCAGGCAAGATCTTGTCATCTCGCCGCAGGCGTGACAGAAGAGCCAGCTGAAATGGACCAGTGCGTCGTAACAGCTGGATGTCATTTGCAACATCCATACGCCAATGTGCCTGGCAGGGTGCCGAATAAAAGGCCATTATGTCTCTGCTTGGGCTGAGTGTTCTACTTGACCATGGTCAAGGACAAAAGCGAAAAGTGCTAAGATTCTCAATTTATGTATTGGGTGACGGGAGGCAAACCAGGAAGGTAAAAATCTAGTTAGTGAAAGCGGAAGTCGCAAAGGTCAATCCTCCCTATGTGAGTGAAGCCACTGATATGTATAGAGTGATCCACGATCACCGAATCAGTTGTGTATTTTGACTATTGTATCAAAATTTGAATGGTTTCCAGTGCATGCTAGTGTGCCAGAATAGCTTTGCAGCTATCACATACACAGCACTTCAGATAAGTAACTTATGCAGGTGTTTACATGGAGGAGGAAAATGGTCAGGAAATATGTATGCTCATATGCTCAGGCTGGAAAGCATCCACTGCAAAGTCCCGGAAGTCACGAAGTCCATTAGGGCTGCAAACAAGAACACTCCTTTTTTCCGACCCCGTGATCCAGTTTTGGATCAGTCTTGCCCCACGGCGCCACGGCCAAACTCCAATCTCCAGATATCTCCAGATCTGCCTGGCAGATTTGTGTAGTCAAGGTGATAGTGCTAGTCTTGGTCACGATGTGCTTTGGTGTTGTTTGCTAGGCTATATAGCCTGTATAAAAAAATAAGTTATGTCAATGCCACATGCCTAATTACATTGCAGCCAGCTATTGCGCATGTAAAAAAGAACTAAGCTAAGCAGTGGCAATGGTATGGCACATGGATAATGATTCAATGATGCAATGCACTGTGTCAATTTGCCACTGTGGAAAACTCAAAGTCACATGCGTGAGTTTGAGACTTGTTTTCTAACTTGCGTGCGCAGCCAGCCGGGTTGGTAGACCATTTCACCAATCTTACACTGGTGAAAGGAAAGTGAATTTGAAACTGGACCATGCAATCTCAAAAGCTGCCGGCATTCCATACCAGGCCAAATCAAGCTTCTCAGTCACTGTCAGCGTGGCTGTGGCTGTTGTTGCTTGCCAAAGACTCTTCTTAAAGGTGCTCCTCTGGTTTCACGTTCACGTTTTCGCCTGTATTCATCTCGCATCACGGTCCTGGGCAGAGTTCGGTTCGGATAAAACAAACACCGAATTATAAACCAAACGATCAATGTGTAGCACTGTAAAACTGACTTGAGTTTGTCCATGTACCATGGTTACATGGTTGTGGCAGCCTAGCACTAGTGCCACTAGTGAGCTAGTGCGATAAGGATGTTGTATGTTTGTTGTGCTGTGACGTAACAAGTTCCTTGAATATTGAAATGATATAGATATATACAATATACAACAAAAAAACATGTATATATACATATAATCATCTATGTCGCACAACAACAAGTTGAAGAACAGACTATTGAGCACCTAAGCACTTATATATGATCGACATTCCTGTCTTTGTCACTGTCACTCTTTTGTAAGACTGTTGACTGGTCATGGTCACAGTCACTGCACTGATCTTTCTTCTCCACTGATATTTCTAGAATGAAGTAATGAAGATATCTGGACTTAGGTAGAATTGATTGTCAATGTGATGAAACTTGCTGGGATTGTTATTGCGTTCTTCAAATGGTTTCTGGTTTCACTGGCCAAGTCAGTAGCATGATCAAGTGAAGAAAAGACAATGAGTGTGTGTGTAGCTCTGTTTAACGGTTTCAATGAGTTTGAGTGTGCCAAGCGAACATGGTCATATCCAATTGTGCTTGCGCTTCTATTATCGTTTGTCATTATCACAAAATGGCATCTAATATTGTGTCGGTTTCTAACCACTGTTGGCAATCACTTTACGCGGCGCATATCATAACCCCGGGCCCCAGCCTCGCCAGCCGAATGTTCCGGAAAAGGCTGGGAACTTGGGGATGACGTACTTCTGAAAGACTGTGGAGTTGCAAAAGCGCCATAACTCCGCAGTGCATGCTGTTGCCAACCTGAGTGAACACATGACGACCTGAGCGATGTGGATTTCGAAGATGAAATGGCGTAAGTTCCAGCAAGGGATCATGAAGCTTCGGGACCACAGGAAAGTGTTGACACACCAATGCTTCCGTTGGCATGAGCCATCGATTTGCATGCTCACCCCACACCAATCCAAAGTTTGATATGAGTGTGAACAACTGGAAGTCATCTGGTGCATGATGCCCATGTCCGCTAGTAGGATCCTGGTTCAACTGGTACGCGGAATTTGGCCACATCTTCCGGTAGTTCTGCAAGAAGTCGTACTCCATGCTGTTCAATGCAAGTTCAAACATGTTGGAACTGGAACTGAAAGTGGACAAAGACAAAGACACTGAAGCAGAAGCAACCGCATCAGACGACCGACTAGTAGGCCTTGAACGGGCCCAGGCCAGTTCACTCTCCGCTTCATTTTGCAAGACGCCATCTGGCCAGCCCATCTTGTCTAGGAACCAAATGCCTTAGTTTGGTGGTGTTGTGCTACACCGCTAGCCGCTACGCCACTACACCCAGGTCACAAAGCTCTTACATGTGTAAGTTGTACGCGGTGAGTCGTGAGTCGTGAGTCGCATGTCGTGTGTTAAATGTTATGTATATTATAATATTAAAGTTATATAACAGAAAAGACTATAATAAACACAGCACATGCCTGTCAGGATTACAATCATGTACTGAGATTGTAGTCCAGAAAACATAAACCTGAAAACATATGAGAACGTGCTTCCAAACCACTCTTCCAAGACCACTGGCACATTCTGAAGAAGCGCTTGCAAAACCGGCTCAAAGGAGAAATCACTTCCACCGCCTTTTGCTTGTGGACCATCTTCACAAACTCTCGCTCTCGGTTGATTGGGTCACCAATCATCAGCGGGCTGAGCATGATGGTCTCCATATGGTACTGTGAACCCAAGAAGCGTAGCAAAAGGCTGCCTAGTCCACAGTCTTGAACCTCTCTTGGTTGTGAGTCAGACACCGTTGCCGTCAAGCTTCCGCTTCCACCTCCGCTCTTGACATTTTCACTCAAGATCTCAGTGTCTTCAAGAGCAATTCGAAGTCCCAGCCATGCTAATGTGAACACTATTTCAGGGTCTGCTGCTCCCATAGAAGCTCCTTTGCGAGACCATGGTTTGCAGCTCGTCCCCGCAATGTGCCGCTTGCAAGGACGTAGGGTGCATTCCTTGCCATGTGTTCTGCAATAAGCCGACAATTTCATAGCTCCTTTGGAAGAAATCAAAGGGCCTAAAACCTCTACGGCCATAGAAGGGTTGTCTAACAACTCTGCCACAGTCGGGGCAATCTCATCTCGGTAGAACGATGCAACGTTTGTGAACAGACATATGTCGTGTTTTTTTGCATAAGGCAATAGCTCTTGAATGCAATGCTCCTTCCATTCGATCATGTAGGCCATATTGGCGTGCTTGAAGGGAAGCCCAAGCTTAGATGACCAAGCGTACTTCAACATGTTCATAGAAGTGCTTGTGGCTTCAATGCCAGAAAAGGCAGTTGAACACGAGTCGTTGTTCATAGCGTCCAAAATGTCACAGATCTTCTCTTCCCCGTATTCATTCAAGATAATCTCGAAGCAATCTTCTTCAAACTTGAAAGATTCTCCAAGAGACTTGACGGTCTTCATGTCACGATCCTGATGTTGTTTTGATCATTTGATTGTTTACTGTAACATTAGACTCATACAGATCATACAATGTGTTGTCATGGTGAACTGGATCATACATGATATATTGATAAACTATATATATATAACATATTTATTTGATATTCTGTTCATAGATTCTTGCATCTAAATTTATTCAGTGTCATTGTCATTGTCCCCCTCCCCATCGCCCGTCTGAAAGAAAATAACACTGCTTAACTCGGCACGAGCGTCAGATGCAACAGTGAAGCACTCTGGGAGGGCAGGTTGTTCTGAAGCAGGACCAGGACCAGGATGAGCAGTGCTCACATCTACATCCATTGAACTCAGGGCTGAGGCTGATTGTTTTGGATCAGCATCAGCATCAGTCTGTTCTAGCTTAAGATCCTTTGGAACTGAGTCAGTGCCAGTTTTTGGTTGTGGCGGAGAAGCCGGTGAAGCTGGTTTCACTTTCACTTTGGCACCTGTTTGTTCCGATGCTGGTTGTACTTCTTCTGGGACAGTTTGGGTCACTTCCATTGGCTGGGTTGGAGTCCCATCATCAAAGGTAGCTGCAGCTGATACCGCAGATTCCATCAAGGTTGCCTGTGGTTGTGGCTGGGTGAGTTCAGCAGCTTCCAACATAGTAGAGACGGCTACTTTCTCCTTGGACTCCTCAGTAGTTTCACATGGTACCTCACCAGCCTCACCAGCTGTTTGACTGGGCAAAGAAGTCCTTGTAGTAGGAACATCAAAGGCATCGGCATCACGGCCATCAGAAGAAGGATGATTGTCTTCCTTTTGCTGCTCAACTTGAACTTCTTGATCATGAGCATGAGCAGGACCCGTCCGGTCAAGAATCTCAGCGAGCTCAGCTTCAATTGACCCAAATGACTGAACAGTTGCCTGTGAGTTAGAGACTTGGTGTTGGTCAAGGTCTTGTTCATGGTTTTCTTCGTCCTTGGTCTTCTCAGTCTTCTCAAAACCTGTAGGCGTTGTACTCATTGCCGCAGTATCCACAGGGTATGATTGTGCGTCCCAGGAGAATGTCACCCAGCGCGGCCCCAGCTCCTTCATATCACTTTTGTCTTAGAGTGATAGAGTGATACAGTGATGAGAAGTCAAGTACAAAGGGAACGCATACTTGCGAACTTGGAAACTCATTAAACTCATTCCAACCGTGTCATGGTATGGCATGGTGCATGTATGGTGTGTTACATTAAATAACAATACCAGTAGCTTTCATACAGCAACAAACACATGACAAGTTAACACAACAGATCAGTCCTTTGAAAGTGATTTGGCAGAAATTGTCTTGACAATATCACCAGGAGCAATTGGTAGTGATGAGGCACCAGTAGTGCTTTGCGCGAAAGAAATGCACGTAC